ATACAATGAAATGAAAGGCAAGCAAACTAACTTAATGGTTTTGATCATTTAACCAATCCGTGTTGCTAGGTCCATTGTCACGAAAAAGTTTTCGTCTCATAACATCCCTTCGTTCTAACTTCCAAAATTGTTTTGTTTCGGGGGACATATGAGTTGTATCCATAGCCATGGTTTTCCGATCCTTTTTTTCAATCTTTTCTTAGCGTACATACTCCCTTTCTTTTGCATATTCTACTTCCATTGCCCTATCGTGCTCTTGTTGTTTCATGTCCATTTCAATTCTCATGGCTTGCATCTTTGAAAGCTCCTCCAAATATTTAGATGTATTCTTGGTAGAATTACTCCTTCTCTTCGCCTTCGTCGCCTTCCTCCCAATAGGCCTATGCTCCTTTTCGATAGGTGAGTCTTGACTCATCGGGGAGTCCATAGGTGAATCCGATGCCGGTGTCTCATGGAGTGACATCTCGTTCAACACTACCATCGGACCTGTTGGAATAATTTGGAATTTCTTACAATTCTTCACCACTTCCCAACATAGGGTATGGTTGAAACTTTTTTTGCCTTGCCAGTAGCATCAAAAAATATTTGTGCTTGCATAATCTATACCAAAAAAAAAAAAAAAAGGAAATGCAAGAAACTTTAAAAAAATATTGGCAATGCAACAAGTATAAAAAAATTATTGGAAATACAAGAAACTTTAAAAAATATTGGCAATGCAACAAGTATTAAAAAAAATAATGGAAAGGCAAGAAACTTTAACAATTTATTAGAAATGCAAAACAAAATATAAATATTGCAAGAAACATTCATATTAATATTGGAAATACAAGAAATATTAACATAATATATAAATTGCAAGAAACATTTAAATAAAATTTAATATGACATAGAAATTAATAAAACAAAAATTACAAATAATTTACCTCACTGCTAAGGTTTTCCCCGCTTCTATGGTTGTCCATCGCTTTTGCCATGACATCTCTCCATTTTCCCAGCTCTTTATTAAGAATTTTCCACCTACTAGACAATGCATGATCCGTACGAGTCGAACCAATTACCCTTTCACAAAATTCCTGATGAATTTTTTTCCACATATGACAGAATTTGATCTTATTGCCCGTTATGGGACAATGACTAACATGGAGCCAAGCCTCACACAAGCTAACATCTTTCATCATGCTCCATGCCCCTCCTCCAGTTTCACTAGAAGAACCCATAATATGATAGAGAAAAAAACAACTTGAAAGTGAAAAAATATTGAGTAGAAAGTGAATAATAGTAGAAGGAGAAGAAAATGTATAAGGAGTTGGTGTTAAAAGTGAAGAGTATTGGTTAGTATTTATAGAAAAAAATTTGGGAGTTTCACTAAAACACTCAAAATGGGGGTTGAAATTATAAAAAAACCCAAGCACTATTTAAACATATAAACACACCCAAAACCCATCATTACACACACTCAAAACTCATTTATAAACACACCCAAAAAGTTGACTTTGGGGTTGATTTTGGGTGTGTTTCTATGTTTAAATAGTGCTTGGGTTTTTTTATAAATACATGTCTAGGATTGGGTTTATTTATAAATTTGTAAAAAAAATTCAGTATTTTTTGGGTATTTTTTAAAACAAATTTCGATTTTTTTTCATTTTTTTTATTGGGCAAAAAATTGGCTGCCATTGGATTGCTAGAAAAAAGGGGATCGGAGAGCCCAGAAGGAGCCACGTGGAAGAGAGCGGTTGGGGCGGCAGTTTCAATTTTTTTATTCGGAAAAAAATGGCTGCCGTTGGATTTCTGGAAAAAGTGGATCGGATAGCCCAGAAGAAGCCACGTGGAAGAGAGCCGTTGGGGGGGCACTGTAGCAGGCGCATCAAATTTTTTTTAACGCATTGCAAGCGCCAACGTTAAAAAAATTTAAACTCCAGCACTGACGTCGTCATGACGTCAGCGCTGACGTCATTTTGCCATCTGGCTGGCGCTCAAGCCAGCCCAGGTAACTGGGCCCCACTCCTTGCCCTGGCAGATCTTTGTTGCTGGAAACCCCATTTTGGGTTCCCCCCCCCCCAAAACCCTCCCCTTGAGCCCCTTGCTGGAAATGCTCTAAATGCACATGTAGGGTTTTTATTCGATTCGACATTTATTTAACATTATGCCAGGGTTTTCATCGAACACATTTGTAGTACATTTATGTATAGTTAGATGGCTAATCAATAGCTTTGAAAAAAAGATGCCTGAACAATTTCGACGTTCTATCGGTTATTCATATCGTTCATTTGTCCTCGAAAACAGCAGCAACACCAATGCCGTTGCCACCACCATTACCAAAAATGTGGAAGCATCATTTAGAACTATGCTAAATGCTTAAACTTGTATTTCCAATAAATATATACACGCAGATGCAAATATAAATACAAATGTGCAATATAACAAAACCAATACAAACCTATAAGCAATCCATGTAAGTATGGCATATATGCGGACCTATCTTTATAGGAAGGATGTGGACATATCTCATTAATAAGTTTGACTATGAGTTTACAAACTAACCGAATTAGGTAGAGATTTAATTCATTTCTTCTAATGATCCAGAACCAAGTATACCTACTCCAGAACTGTTTAGAATCTTAAAATGGAGAGAGTGCTCATGGATGTTTAAAACTCTCTCAGAACTAGTTTCAGGTACTAGAAACAA